TGTGTGATTCATGAACATGGCTGGGCGTGAACTCCCAGAAGTAGGTTCGTCAGTTTGTGCTGCCGACAGGAAGTTGCGTTACTTCCTTTCTTCATTGTTGTCTAAACTATGATTCTTTTTATCCTGAATATTTAGAATCAACAAATGTATTCTCGCTCTTCAGTATCGTTAGAATTTTATGAATTCGTGCTGCAAGTTACTAAAAATTGATCTAAAAAATCTCTATTACACAAATTTCCATCTCTACATGAAATAACAGAGTTGTGAAATCTCTTTTAAGCAAAGTGACACAATGTAAAGAAGCAATTACGAATATTATTATTTTCATAGAAGATAATTTTGGATGCTCCTAAAACCCAATTCTACAAGCATAAAAAATGAAAAATGAAGCCTAAAATAACGCTAACATATGATAAATGCACGAGTGATGTGTTTATGCACTGTGCCCACAAAAGTACTTACCTCACTTTTATTTCCTCAACCGTTGGTCGTAGACACATACTTCCAGCTACAAAATTATTTTAAATAACGCAAAGATTCATATTTTGGCCTATTTAAATTTAAAGACATCAGTTTAGTAAATATTATGAAATCTAACTCTTTATGCCATCCTGCGATCCTTATATTTAAAAAGCATTTGTTCTTAAAAATAAATTTAGAACGTTTTTTGTACGATAGAAATTGACCGAGATATTTATTTTAAAAATTATACATTTTTGATGTCAATGTTTATTTAATTTGCATTGAGGGATCGATGAGTAAATTAGTAAATAAATTCGGTAGTTAGTTTTCTCCCCTTAAATTCCATTTAATGATGTTGCTTTGTGAATTACTCGTGTCTAATCTATAATTTTATTTCATTTGGTATGCCGAAAGAATTTTCACACAAAAAATTTATAAGTTTTCAATGTCTAAAAATACGTAGTTAATGTTCGCGTGAAGTTTTATTACTTTGAAATCATAATCTGATAATCATACAAAAATTTATTAAAGTAAAAATATCTAGTTGTAACGAAAGTTTTCCGCCAAAAAACGTTCTTTATAAACTTAGGGGATCGGAAACATAAAAGCAGCACCTTTAGTGCGGTTAGTAATCACCACCCAAATCTGTGATTTTCTGTATCGGCCCAGAAATTTGGTGGCCGCGTATCCGAAAACAGAACAACCTCATTTCGGACGTCCTGTGCAGAATGAAAGATAACACCAGCAAGATGAGCAGCAGGTGTGAAAAAAGGTAGAAATCTGAAAGAGCGATGTCGGGGCTATATGGTGCGTGTGGCAAAAGATTCCATTCGAGTCCGCACCGAGTCCAGCCGCTGAATGCAGACACACGTGGTCTTGCATTATCTTGACAGAACATTACATTGTTCTTTGATAGTAGCGTCAACACGGACTAGCATCTCGCTGTACACCTTGTCTAGGGTTTTGCCTTTCTCGAGATACTCTTTGTGAATAATACCACAGCAATCCCACCAGATACAAAGCATGATATTTTTGCTAGTCAAATTGTGCTTTGCGAAGTTGCCGACGGACTCACCAGGCGCAGACCAGCCCTCTTTTCGGCCTGTGTTGTTAAAGTAAATCCACGTTTCATCACAAGTGACGATCCGCCCAAAATTTTGTTCTTGAGTTGATATTCGAGCAGATTAGTGCAGGCCCGAACATGTGTGTCCTTATCTGCTTGAGTCAGCTCATGCATCAGAAGAGTAAAAATTAGTAGTATTTGTAATTAACATTGATCCATAAATATTATAAACAAATTAGATTTTATTTGGAAACGATCAACCAGAAATGATAGTTTACTTAAAGCTCGTTGCTCTTCTGTCCATGTTAAGACATGGAATTAGCGGGATGTATGGATATTTGGGAACGTGCAGTGTCTTTGCGGCATGAGGCACTGTCTATTTCATTTTATTATGTTACAAATTGTGCTTACGAATTTATTATGCTTTCATGGTAGAACATCCTAATTCGCCATTTCATATCACAGGACCCCAAGTGATCTCATCTTACGTAAATTACACTACAGAAATCTAATTCTCTCAGTAATTAAATTCAGGTTAAATCTTATCAAGGAATAGAAGTTAAACAAATGCAAGACTTACTTCAATTCGTACAAATTTACTTAGAAATTATGTATAACCGTAGTGCTTTACTTACCTAGTGGATCTCATTAGAAGTGATGAACTAATCCTTTCATTTTGCCTTTTCTACATTTTCGCCTTCGGGTGAACGGTGTGATTGTACCCTATTGACGTAATTACCGCAAGTGGCCTTAGGGCATAAAATTGAACTATCTAGTTGAAATTCTATGTGATTGTATGCCAGTAACTAAACAAACGATCGGCGATGGGGCACTCTAAATATATAGCGAACCGAAAGTCCTCTCGTATGGTTTGGTGGTAGGGGAGAGGAGTCGGAGACCCTCGCCAACCCCCGGGGTGCTGTTCCTCAAAACTGGGGTGGAAGTAGAAGTCCAACCTCCTTGAGGCTCTGGCAACCATGTTTCCATGAAATACATAGACAAGACAACAACAACAACAACGGAAAGTCGTACTGGCTACAACAGTTTTTTTTTTTTTTTTTTTTTATGTGTGCGTATATCAGTAAAAGTTCTTGTAGATTTTAAAGATATCTGTGTTAAATTTAACAAACATACTATCCTCATTTCTCGTATTCAAATTAAGTTGACTTATCCACAGAACTGTGAAATTAAATCATTATTTCTCAGTTTAAAAAAAAATTTATATTTTATGAACTTTTGTGACTCCCTGCTGAAATTTCAAATTAACTTTCGCAATATGCTATAATGATGACACAAAATGCTGATAATGAGAGGAAAAAATTACACTAGTATAGATGGCTATTAAACTAAACTTGGTTACCATTAAGTATTGTAAATTTAATCTACCTACAGAATAAAAAATATACTTTAGTGCGCAGCATGTGTTTTGGTTCTAAAGAACCCACCTCCATTATTTGTAATCGTCATAATTTTTAAATACATCGCAAATTATAGGCATTATTAAGGAAAAAAAGGGCTTAGAAAATAAAATAAGTAATCAATAATTAGCACTAATAAATTGGAAAAGAAAATTATTAGCTTAATATTTTATATTAATAGAAATGAATAATTTTGAGGGTTTCATTCAACACAGATTCATTTAATCTCACTGTTTGAAAAATACTTTAATGTTCCCGGTAAACGCCCAGGAAGGAAAATCAATATACGCGTGCGAGAATCTTGGGAATACGGGATTCCCGTTTTCGGGAAAGAAACCTTACTCACAATCTAGAGATAAACAATTTTTGAATTAATCTGCTATAGAAATATCCGTGTGTATGGATGATTACGGGAACCCAGCTTTTATCTTGATTTCAACGCATCCGATTCGGTATGAGTATTTTAATACTTAATTCTGTTGGGAAATAACTTTCGTAGAGTAAGATTTTCATTGATGTAATAAGAATTGTCAGAAGGAGCCATATATGCGTATAAAGACTATTCTTAATGCAAATAAATCATCTCTAAGAAAAACATTAATGATTCCAGCAATTTTAGGCTTCTTTGAAAGTAGTCACGTTGTTTTATCGATCATGTTCAGAAAATTGATTAATAGTGTTCTTTAATTATATTCTTATAAAAAATGGTCATATTCAGAGATGATTATCTTAATAGGTTTTTCATATTTATTGTAATAATATAATTTAGTCATAATTTAATCCAGATGAGCTAGACAATCATACAATGGGATGAAACTCTTACAGTGACTATCTGTTTAAAATGATCATTTCTGAACATGACCGCTATTCCTGATTAAATGATGGATGTCGCAAATAATCATTTTCTCTAAGGTGACAATCATACGTTGTTATCATTTTTGTTCAACAGAATCATTTTTTTTTTCAGAGTAATTTACAAAACTGGTCAACGGTGAATCTGAGCAAAACCGAGCAATAAATTTTAATTTTTTTAAATCTCTAAATATCTTTTTTGCGATCATAGCTGCCATGTACACTAAATTTCACAGCATTTTCGCCTTCTTTTTCATCTTCACTAGGCCCTAGTGTAGTGAATCATATACTTACTATAGGTGTAAAGCCAATGCAGCCAAATAATTTTTTTCGAAGGGTTTCCAATCCCCCCTTTCAGACTAAACAGTAAAGTAATGTAACTGATGAGAGAGAATTCGTGTTAATAAAGAAAATATATAATCTGTAAATTCGCTGTTTCGAAAAGAATTAATTGCTGTTTAAAAGCTGTCAGAATATCTTTTTGTTGCGTTTTATTTTGTTTTTTTATTGTCCCACTTCATCGCGTAGAGATGTGCGCCACTTCTTGGGAGAGCATCACGTGAGCAAAATAAAGAAATGAATGGGGACTGTTTGTATATATGCCTTCCCTACAAACTGCGTTACTTTATCGTACCATCCTAAAGTAATAAGCCAGTTGAGTTTTTCTTCTAGAAATGACCTTATTGACCTTCTTCCTAAGTGGTAACTTTCGCATAATAACTGAAGTAGGCAACATTTAATTCTATAAACGGTTAAATCGTTGACTTTGACCAAAATATTTGCTTGCCATAAGCGCTAAAGTTTGAATTAACTTTTCAGAAGTAGCTATATTGAAGAGTATTATATCAAAGGATAATGAAAACTGTATAAATGTTATAACCACCTTTTTAAAACGTCGTGCACATTTTGTTTTATTTTAATTAAATTTAAAAATGTAAATTAACGTGGAATGCATGTTTTCCTCTCTTTATGAAAGCTGTAAAACCTTTCCTAAGCTTTAAATGGTAAAACGAAGAAGCATTTAATGTTAATTTAAATGAGAAAAAATTTAGAGAGCTCCTATAACCTCAGAAACTCTCCGCATCATGCAAATAGCACATAAAATATGCAATAGCTTTAAAAGAAGGAATAATATCTATTGTTACGAATTTTGTACATAGATAGATGATTGTACTGCAGTTATATGTGAAATTGTATTTTTCTGTACAATTTAGCATGGAAATATGGAGAGACGAAGTAAAGGTTAAGTACTACAGTGCACTAGGAGGAAGAGGCACCCAGAACTGGCATTGCTCAAGGCAGCCTTGGACGGTTAATAGCTCCAAACCCTAGAGGCGATCCGAGGAGAACGCAACCACCACAAAGAGAACAAAGTCATAGTTAGACATCTAACGTCCCCAGTGTTGACCAGGGGGAGCCAAATCCATAAGGACAACCTTCGATAGCTGACCATGTAGCGTCCCTACAACCAAGGGGCAGACAAGACAGTACCATATGGCTCCTGCCGAGCTTGAGCATACCACCGGAAAAAGAATGGTTCTAGTCTCTGTGAAAACTGTTATTTTTTTCCCAGAAGTCAAGTCTATCTAGGTATTTATCTAGATTGACCTATTCAGAACGCTGGGCTTGCCCCCAGTCTACTCCGAGGTGGGAGAGTAAGTACTACAAGGGCAAGCCTATTTAACAATGAGTGAACGGCTATCTCTCTAATTTTAGAAGATATCGGCAGGCTGGCAGCGGTTTTGGTGACTAATTTTTGTTTCCGAATTTGGCGAGAAATCGCCAAAACTCGCCATACTGCCAAACTTGGGCATATTTTAGTCGGTTACGGCATATATATCACCGTAATAGGTATTGTAGTTAAATACTGGTAATTGATTTCATTTGTAGCGGTAACCGTATCCGGCCCTCATATTACCTTCCAGTAATTTCCAGAAGTACCAGAAATGTCTCCGAGGCCGGTTGAAAACTATATAAGAACTGAGTTAGCATCTCTCAGTTGTTGTGGGTTCGGAGTAGTGAAGTATCTCCGAGTTAGCTTCTCTCTTTAGATGCGCTTTGCACTGAGTTATGTTTAACGTTCTCAGTAGTATGAAGTGTAATTACTGATTGTACTCTGTGATAATCTGAACACCTGTGCGAGTATTTCTGTGGAAAGTTCTAGAACGCTGAACTGTTTCTTTGGATCAAATAAATTTTTTCAACCTATCATTGGATCTGTCTATTACGAACCCGTACCCACATAACACTAAGGATATCTGTCATCGATCATCGGTAAAAAGCTTTTTGTTGCCACTCTGCAAAACGTTTCATATGTTGTTTAAGACATTTATGTCTCAAATTTAATATGAAAACTCGGCGATATAAAAGAAATATGTTTCCAATCCGAATATATTTATCTTTTTATTGCCACTGCCTGAATTAAAACATTTTTATCTTCTACGTGGTAGTTTTTTGTTGCTTAAAACGTAATATACGTAACTTTTCTTTCAAATTTATTCTCTTATTAATTAACAAACTAAGCGATTTAAAAGCAATAAACACAGATTCTTTTCAATTATTATTAATTCCTAACTTGACTCCTGAAATTACAGTTGTTGCAGTAAATAAAATCCACTTGTATATATCATGAATAGTGGTTTTTTTTGGGGGGAAGGGGTGGATTGTTGTTGCTTTTGTCTCTGTGTGTGTGTGTGTGTAATTCATTCATCCGGCGGGATTCACATTGAGGGCGTTTATATTGGAACGTTACTTTTTTTATTGGGCAATGCAGCTTGCAAGCGCTAATATACATTTTTATTGAATAAAATTTTAAACACGTCACTAATGTAAAACTTAAAATATTAGGCAAAAATTTTTTTAAATAAAAATTTGAATGAGATCTGTCGATTTCGAGGGCGGTCAGACAGAGGTCCCTCTCCTTTGCTTTCGGTATAAAATGTTGTCTTTCCGCCAATTTTTCCAAAATCTTTTCACTTCTGAAGAAGAGGAACATGTGTCTTTCCGTCTTCGAAACTAATAGCGTTTTATTAAAAATTTACGTCACATTATCACCTTTCCCTCGTAGAGTGATAGGAAAATTTAAATAAGGCTGACCTAATTTTTATATGTTTAGTTTTGTGTTAAATATTGTGTATGTGTTAGATTTAACGAGTTCCATTTGTTTTGCATTACGAATAATATAGAACGTACTCTTTTCTTAGCAATCATTTTGGATCTGGGAACAAATTAATTCATTTTACAGATTATTTCTTTTCCTATGGGATAAAGTGTTCGGTTTACTATGATTTTGGATGATGAACTGTTTTCGGGAACGAAAATCGAACCTTGTTGCCCTGTATATTTTGATTTTCTAGTTATATTTATCTTTTCTAGTTGAGGAAGTATACTATAGTAATACATATTTAGCAACAGATGTTAATTTATACTTTCTCCCTTTTGGCTCCAGCTCAAAAAGAGAAAGGAAAAAAAAACCTTGGAGTCAAAAATATTGTCGAAACTGCGTCTAGTAAGATTCACGAAGATTCACGTGATCTTCCTCACGTGACTTTGAGCTTTTGCACGTGACGTGCTCCATGGTTAAGGTCAAAGCCTCGGGAGGTTCTGATTGTGACCTTCGAGTCTCGTGTTTGTGACTTGCTACGATGATGCAAAAGAGCAAAGCAAATGCGTAAATTGCCAGACGTTATCTGTTTAGTATAAACTTCAGATAAATGTGTATGTAACGTTCCTTGATCCCACTTTCCACATTAAATGCAACGTGTTTGCTTATTTGGTCTTGGCAAACCTCCCTGATTGTGCAAATATTATTCCTTTACTTCTATGCAATCGCAAACTATCCGAAAACAACAATTAAGTAAAATAGATCTGCAAGCATCTAAATTATATGTTACTAAGGGCGATTACAAAGTTTTAAACTCATATGCATGAGACGATTTTATTTGATGCGGTGTAAAATGTATAAATATTTACAAAAATGTAATACAAATATAAATAATTACATACATGTGCAATTATTTATAATAAAAAATGTGTAATTGTAAATATTTTCGAAAATGTAAAACATGCTCTTTAAATCCAATACGATATCAGTTTGTTGCATTCGTTTGTTGTTATGTAACGTAGCAAGTACTAAATTTTTATATTGTAACTAGTTCAAGTCCAGATGGTAAATTATGACACAATAATTTGCATTCTCCCAAAATACATACAATGAAACTTCTCTTATTTTCTACTACTTAAGATGACAGCCTCTTAAAATGAGGATTTCACCTTGAGAGCTGAATTAAAATATCTCAAGTGACTAGTACATGACCTGCCTTCAGTTTCATATCTAACAACAAGCTTGAAATAACTTATCACTTCCGTTTTATCATTTGTAAATAAAATCTAATTTGTTTATAGACTTTATGGTTTAATATTAAAAATAAATACTATTCCTTTTTTATTATTATGTTCGCCCATGCAATGAGTAGTGATAACTATATTTTTATACACATTGGTTCACTGTACACATATCCTTTTTAATTTATGATATCGGTGTTCTGTTTTCTTAGTAAGATAACCATCATTTTTATTTGTCATTTTAACTTTATTTAATTAACATCACTTTCTTACGTGAATGTTACGTAAAATTCAAGAGCAAAATGAAAATTCTTTAAAATCAGTATATTTTTAGAATTCCAAGAGTGTTAATTGCTGGAATACATGTTTTATATTCGCTGTACTATTGATATTTGCTGTATTATTTCTTTAAAAATAATACATAGCGATAATATTTGGTGGCAGAATCAAAAGTGATTCGACACAAAAGCTACGTGCCGAGTTCGCTACCGTTATACCACGAAGGCATGCAGAAAGGAGGGAGAAAGTGCCTTCCTTATTTACTTACCCCTCTTAAAGGACGACTGGGAATTAGAGGACGTATTCGCCACATCGTGGTGCTGAAAAATCATCATCCATCACCTTTTAGTTCCGGCGCCACTATAGAGTCATTAGGATTTTTCGACGTCAGGAAACTTGAAAAATGTACAGTGCCCTTACTGGGGCTCGAACAGTGGACTTTCAAATACGCCTCGAGTGTGCTACCTTATATCACGAAGGCATGCAGAAAGGAGGGAGAAAATGCCTTATAAGGTGAAGAATAATATCTAAAAATAACTCTTTCGTTCAAATTTCGTACTGAGACTTTTCAACATTAAGATAATATTTTTTCGTGAATCATTTGCAAAATCTGCAACTTTCTTTTCCCAGTATGTCGATCCGAACAAATGAAGAATGACATCAGCTAATATGAGAACAGATCAGTAGTTGTTATAATTCAAATGGCACGTAAGATGACATTTAATTATTTCTGAAAAACATTGTACATCTACACCAAGATCTTTGTAGGAGGAGGAAAAATGTTATCTTTTTGGGACGGGCATTTGAAATAAAGGTATACGATCTTTCCAGTTTTTATGTTAAATATTATACAGTTTGAATTCATACGATTTTAAAAACAAGAGAGCTTAATTTTTTAATATATATATAGTATTACAGAAAAGATTGAAAGCAGAATAATAAAATCAAATCTGTGTAATAAAAGTAGCATTTAAAATTCTACAGCTAAAATAAATGTGTAACATCTTAAATTAAAATTTCGAAAATTTTTTTGAAGATTCCTTGAAAAACGTTAAAGTGGTGCATTAATATATTTAGGATTAGCTGTTCAAAAATGCCAAAGCGAAATGATCCGAAAAAACATTTGATGTGACGTAATTTAATCGTAAATTAATGTGGAAAAAGTATACTTCTCTCCTGCACTAAAGATTTAATTACTTTATAAGGTATTTATCCCGTCTTTCTAGCGTGCCTTCGTGGTGTAGTGGTTTTGCACGCTGGGCCAGTATTCCAAAGGTCCGTGGTTCGATTCCTGGCGAAGGCAGTTGCTAATTTTTCATCTCTCCGGCTTTCCCAATTAACCTAATGGCTCTACAACTTAGGAAGGATCTCTGTATTATTTCATTGGATCATGTGTACCTGAGGCTAGCAACAAATATTTTCCACAGTGGAAGTACTTTCTATTTTGCCAGGACTCAAAACTCGCGAATCAAAAACAATAAATGTTTCATTAAGTAATTTAATAAATTTATTATAATGTAAAGAAGTTTTCTGCGAAGTTGGTTAATTAATTATTAAAAATGTAGTTTGGGTAGCTTCTGTTTTCATGGCAAAATACTATAGACATACATATATGAAAGTTATAAGGTATTTCTCCCGCCTTTCTAGCGTGCCTTCGTGGTGTAGTGGTTCTCCACACTGTGCCAGTATTCCAGAGGTCCGTGGTACGATTCCCGGCTAAGGCTTTGTTAATTTTTCATCTCTTCTGCATCCAAAGCACTTAATGTCTCTACAGTGTCGCCCGAACTAAAAAGGGTGGTGGATGGTGAATCTCCACACCCTTGATTTGGCGATTGGGTTCCCTAAAAAAATCCCAGTTACCCTTTAAAAGTGGGAGTATATAAGGTATTTCTCCCACCTTCTTAGCGTGCGTTCGTGGTGTAGTGGTTCTGCACACTGGGCCGGTATTCCAGAGGTCCGTGGTTCGA